TTAAATAAACAAACTTAATAAGAGACCTCAAAGCTCGTCTTCTGAGGAATAAAATTGAAGGATACGTCATCCAGTCCAAGGTGCTGGGCTTTTTGTTTTCCTCTGATTCCCCTAATTCCCCCTAGTTCATATCCACTGTGATGTAGTTCTTAAGCAAATATTTGCTAGAAAACAATGCAATGTTATATAATATACAATAAATTTTGTATTCCTTAACTACAAACTATGTAATATCGCCATTCGCGAATTATACGATGTTAAAATTATAAATACAAAATATAGTCATATTAATTGTTGACCATTGTTAATGATCTGGCCCGGCGCGCGCTACTTTGTAGCACTTGCCATCAAGCTAACATTTCGAGAAGAAAGCGGCGCGCGCTACTTCAAAGAAATTTAGACGAGTACAGTAACATCCGTCAAATCAATTGTTGTTGGAGGACTTTGCCGCTTCGACGCGAACTAGCATTTTTGTTTCGCATCGTCGATCGTTGCTCTGCTTTGCAGGGCAACGATCTCGATGGGTTGATATTGTCAACCAATAATTGTTGACGCAGGTTATAATTTTATATTTCCACTTGACGGATGTTACTCTTCTAAATTTCTTCGAAGTAGAGCGCACCGCTTTCTTTTCGAAATATTATGGCCCGATGGCAAGTGCCGGGCCAGATCATTAACAATGGTCAAATTTCCACCGAAAGCACACTCCCCAAATTAAACTGCATACATTGCTGTAACTTCGTTCAACCATCATATGAATTGAAATAAAATCTTTTTTAATGTATTCAGAATTAATTTATGCACTTATTATTCAAATCACTTGGAATACTGATGCATTTCTCCGTAAAAAGCACAATTGCGTGAGTACTGAGTAGCTATTGTCGGGGTGCATCAAAATAATTTTAAACGATTCCCCGTTATAGCCGTTCAAGTTTAATCGCAGATCGTCAGCTTAGTGTAAAATTAAACAAATACAGTTATAAACATATTTCATATACTACTACTACTACTACTACTACTATGTCGGAGCTAAGTCCGATCTACGCCAGAAAACCCCCTCCATATATCCCTGTCCCGCATCAGGGTTCGCAGTTCCTCTTTAGAGTTTGTCCCAACTTCCTTCAGTAAATAGACAAGTAGCTTTGTCTTGGTCGGCCTTGCTGTGCTCTACCGTGCGTAGGTTCCATAATACGACTAAATCACTGGCAAGTAGCTCAGGATGTCGGATGCAGTGTCCCGCCATTTTTAATTTCCTGCTTCGTAACTTGTTTGACAGCCTTGGGAGGCTACCATACAAAGTTATATTGCTGACCTTGTCCTTCCATGAGATACCCAGCACCATACGCAACATCTTTGTGTATGTCCCGTCCAAACTTTTCTCTTGAGCCTTTGTCAGTGTCCAGGTTTCTGATCCGTAGATCAGTACTGATTCACAAGCCGCTATGAACAATCTAATCTTGAGGCTCTTTGAGAGTTTGGATTTCCAGATATCCTTCAGTCTATGTAGGGCACCCCATGCTTTTCCCTTTCTAACCCTTATCTCCCTATCTGTGCTCTCAATCCAGGAGCCTAAGTAGATGAAATCATCTACATTTTCTATGGCTTCCCCGGATCGACTTAGTAGGTCGCTAGATTGATCCTCCATATTCAGTGTCATGACCTTGGTCTTGCCTTCATTTATGTGTAGTCCCACGCTTGCTGCCGCCGATTCTACTCTGAGCAGGAACTCGTTAGCCTTGTCCATGTCCTCAGATATAAGTGCTATATCATCTGCAAAGTCCACATCGGTGATGATCTTGGGCCCCACTCTTCTGCTTTTTCTACGTTCGAGGGTGAGTCCAAGTCGCTCCGCATCATCGCCTATGGCTTGCCTCATAAAGTAGTCGATGACTATTGCAAAGAGGTAAGGTGCTAAGGTATCACCCTGTAACACACCTGCAAGTATTTCGAACAATTCAGTTTCTCCGTCTGGAGTTAGGACTTTGGCCATTGTCTTCTCGTACATGAGCCGTATAAGCTGCACGATTTTGACTGGAATGCCGTAAGCTTCTAGAATCTTAAGCATTTTCCCACGATGTACACTGTCGAAAGCCTTCTTAAAGTCTATAAATGTCAGAACGGCTGGCAGTTTCCGACTCTTGACACCCACTATAAGACGTCTCAGTACCAATATCTGTTGAGTTGTTGACCTTCCTGGTCTGAATCCATTCTGGTTTCTACGCAGAATTGTCTCGATTTCTGGCTTCAACCGGTTTAGAACCATCTTGTTTAGAGACTTGGCAACTAGGGATGACAAGCTTATTCCCCGATAGTTCATTGGTTCGCTAAGGTCGCCCTTCTTTGGAATTGGTATGATGTTGGCAGTTGACCATTGGTCTGGTTTCTCACCTTTCAATAGAGCATTGTTACAGAAGTCTAAGACAATTTGATCAAGGTCGCATCGTTTTAAGACTTCTGGGGCTATGTTGTCGTCACCCCATGCTTTCCCTTCCTTTATGCTGGACTTTGCTTTCCTGTACTCATCCAACGTAAACGCTTCTGTTCCGATATTCAGAGGTGGGTGGACTGGATCAATATCCTCTTCCGCGTTCTCTACCGTCGGTGGTGAGCCGAGAAGAGTAGCAAAATAGTCCTTCCATTTTTACAATCAAATTAGATGTGCTTTCAGTTTGTAGGTTTACAACCTACCAGGACGCACGCCAAGTTGGACTCGTCGACGGTCCTGATAATTGGAACAAATATTTTACGAGTATCACCCGACCCGTTAATTAAAAAGTAGCTACTTTTAGCTTCACTAAACTAACTACACTAGCTTCAATCTTTCAAAAACTAAAAAATCAGAAAAGGAAACTTTAAATTTGGACAGTCATGATATGAATAAATAAAATTTTACTTTGATAACCACAAAACAGTAAAAGAAAATAAAAAATTTTTCATGAAAGATCATGCTGACTTGATAAATCAAGGTGCAATTCCTGAGTCACTCAACAATTTTATCACCACAACAGAACTTGACTCAAGCTCAAAATTCCCAAAAAAGGGGAAAAACTTCCTCACTCGACATGAAGCCCATTTTAGGAACCCATTACCCCAACCGGTTCCTCCCGGAACTGTTGTTGGTTTGGTCAATGCCTAATTTTTTCTAAAGATAAAAAGTATTCAAATATACACATAATATCACAATGACCCTATATAAAATGAAACCGTCAAAAATGTAGTACATGTTCCTCTTCTAAAATATCTTTTATAGAATAGAATTATTCAAACAATATACACATAATGTCATAATGAATCTATACAAAAACATTGGGAGAAACATTTGAAAATCACCCTTGACCTTGTGGCTCCAAGTTCAAATCTAGACCATCTATATTAACAAAGTTCTTTCTCGCACTTCTGCCTAATTTCACTTTCAATACCTAATCATGGTTTTGTGAATTGTTTTATACTTTAATTTTTGTTCATTTTTTGTCTCAGGTACCTTGTGTATGTTGTCGCATCTTGAAAACTATAATAGCTTGAGAAGATTTTGATCTTAAGCGATTTCCCCATTCAATTTTGATCGACAAACGTCAACTTATTAAGCAGAATCAAGCAAATTGATAAACTATTTCATACGTATCATTTTGAATATGCTTTCTTTTGAAATTCTATAGCAGGTGCCCTTAATTATAGGATAAGAAGTATATTCATGCGAGTTACATTGTAGGGATGTCAAATTGATTTTATTTGTAATGGTATTATTCATCATCATTTGAATTATCAAAATTTGTAGTACCATGGCTGTAGCGAAAACACTTGATGAGGAAGCAGCCGAAGCTATATTAGCTGAAGCTCGACGCATGCAAGGTATGGAGAAGGAGTTAGGCTCAGCTGCATGGTTACGTAAACCTGAAGACAAAGTACCAAACAAGCGATTTGTTAGAAACATGGTTTCTCATTCTCTACAATTTAACACAAGGAAAAACAATTTAAGTCAAACCAGTCGTGTACAAAACTTTTCATCAAAAAGATGTATGACATCTCAGGCACATGACAAATCTATTTCAAACAAAGAAAAGTCTCTTCTAGCCAATCAAGACAGTAAAAATGAAAAGAATTTTGATCTTAAACGAAAAAAGAGCAGCAATCAGTCAAAGTCATCCAAAAAAAGATTAAAAATTAAGAAGCAAAAAGATCAATGAAGCAAGAAATTTTCAATGAAACAAGAAATTTAATTTTTAGCACATTTTACAGAGTAAAGAGATGTAAAACAATTTATAAAAATATAATGCTCATTTGGTGTATGACTTTTTGTCCTTGACTGTTAGTTTGATTTTGAAGGGACAGGCAACTAACGGGGCAGGGAATGTGCGTGCCTGAAAGCTTTTGCACACACCAAAACGCTAGTTCAGTTGAGTTTTTAGAGACAGGGCTCATATGAGGATCAGAAGAAAATTGTTAGCAGACGTTAGGGGTTCTGTTTGTGTTTGTTACTATGGGTTACAGTCTTGTTGTGACAGAAAGTCTACACTATATGATACATCGATACATATTTTGCTGATACATATTTTGCTGATCAGAGACATGGAGATCATTCAATGCCTGAGCTAATTATGACTGTACAATACAAAAATCATATGTTTTATTCTGATATTGCCATGCAAGTTATCAGAGTTGAAAATGAATATCCATCGTAAGAATGTACCTATAGATTGAATGCATCTTTTTTAAACAGAACTTTGAAAAGAGCTGACTCATTTAACTTGTTAAATTTTAATTAATTAATTAATTAGTTGAATTATTAACTTTAATTAATTATATTAAATGTTTAACTTGTTTGATCTCTTCAAAAAATATTTCAACATTCCCCCACCAATATTAATGATCTATCAAATTCAATTTAATTATATTTTGAAAACCTATTCATACTTCCAAGTGGATTGACTATTTATAAATGGCTTTTTTGCCACAACATAAGGATTGATACGAATAATTAGTATTTAACAGTAATTTTGATTTAGAAATGGCAGAAGAGTTAAATAATGACAGCTCGGAGTCCGACACCTTTGAAGTGATTGATACAAATGGTATGTAATGGTCGAAAAGTTTATAATTTCTAGGATATTTTATATTTTATTTCTAGGATATTATGCAACTGTCATGTTTTATACTTGAACTTAAACCCCAATTATCTGGTCCCCAGTGCAATATACACATTATATTATACAGGGATCTACCACTTAACTTACCAGAAGTATAAATATTTCTTTAACATAGTAGTATAGGTAATCAAACTCTAATATTTACACAATTAGCCCAAACGCATCTTCTCTCAAGAATCCCTGTATCATTGTAATAATATTATATGCCCCATTTTATTGTGCTTCGTGTTCCAGGTTTCCCATATAATGGAATTGAAGTGTAGTAGGTTATGATCAAAGTTTTGTTGAGGTTTTAATAGAATTTTGAGGTAATGAGTTATATATTTTTTGGATTCAAATGGATCTAAGGGATAGGATAAATTGTATGGTTTAACTCTAGGCTGGAGTTTTGTTTGTGAATGAGGTGAAGTTATTGAGTAAAAATAGTAATGTAATATAAAGGTAGTATTCGTTAATAAGAACCTCTATATCTAATTACACTTATTTAAAAAACAGTTCCAAAAATATAGAATCACGTTATTATTTTATGTTAATATGTCACACATACACGTATATTATAATATAATATATATATATTTTATAATCAAACTTATAATAAAATATATTGATTGCTAAAAAACTACCTTTTTTAACTACAGTCATTAGAATCAGGTGTTATAGAATCACGTTATTATTTTATGTTAATATGTCACACATACACGGATATTATAATCAAACGTGATGAAAGAATGTACCACTTATCCTGTGATAATAATAATTTATTAAACATTACCTGCTCAGTCATGTTAACACTTATACAATTGTTGCTCAACTTGACAGAAACTACTCACTCCCAGGGACAAAAGGAAATCGCGGCATGTGCGGGATCGCGATTATTCACATTCTTTGCGACAAATTTTATATGTCATCTGTTTGGCTTGTCGCGGTACCGCAATTTTTGGCCAAAATAATCGCGATTTTCTTTTGTCCCTGCTCACTCCCAATATTACCAGGTCCAGTACAGATAATCAGAGATAATGGAGATCACACCTTTACGCTCTGTGAGAATGATCTGGCTACAATACTCATGGCAAAGAATCTCAAGGATACACCTGTTGTGGTGGTATCCGTCGCAGGTTTGTCCACTGTACACAGAATAATTAAATAATTAATTAATTAAAGAAAAATGTTTTTAGATGAAAAAGGCCCCTTGGATTACTGGGCAGTAGTATCCAAGTAGCCCAACAGGTATTATCAAAAATCATTACTTATTCAAGTACATTTTTACTCATTTAGTATGTTTAGATTAAACACTGCTAAGTATAAGTTTTATCTTAATAGCGGTGTTATTAAACTTTGATTTATTATCATCATTCTGATTAAACTGTTAACTCTTTGATTTTCATTCATACGTTGTGGTCTATATTTGTTATATGAACATGTTATTTCATTATGTGGATAATATAGTTCAAGGTAATCTAATTAACGCTAACTTGCCCTATTAGTTAGATGTTAGATGGTAAACTGACCACACGAAATTTACTATTCTTTTGAATGAGACATATAGATGTGTTCTCTGGGGGCTATAAACAGAAGCTGGGCTTCTTTAAGTGAACTACAAAGTGACTTAAAACTTAGCAAAACTGATTGTCTTTAAACTTTTAAACTTGCAGTATATCACTGTACAGTGTACAGTGTAGGTTCCCTTAAGACGAAGCACTATTCACTTGAATGTTGAGAGTATAATAAATGTTGAGGTGATGATTGCTGGAGTTAAACACGTGATCCTCCCACTATTGTACACAATGTACTGTGTACACAATGTACTGTGTACACAATGTATTGTGTACACTGTGATATATGATATCCGTAATTTAGCTTATAGTAACAAGAGATATTGGCATATTGGCATTACAATGAAGGTTTGACTAGTATTTTGTTTTTTAGGGAAATATTTGACTTGGGCGTTGTTTTTAACTATCCCTCGTTGAGAACTTTTATTTAATAAGTTTACAACAGTTCAATATTTTACATTAAACAATAGCTACAGTGTGCTACAGTGTGCCGATAAGTATTACCATATATCGTGTGTAGCCTATTGTAATAGCTTAACTTCAGCACACGGAATTATATTACACAACGCGAACGTAACATCACATACTTTATTTCTATGAGTATGATATATTATTACTATTAACTAACGTAAGATTAAGTACATAGTGTCACTGTGTTTATCATTGCACTGAAATGTAACAGTTTAATTTCTTGAATATAATCATGCTGTAAATCTCAAGATGAGTCAATTTTCAAGCATCTAAACCTACAATATTATATAATATGTAGTTCCTTCAGATGTGTAGACTGTAGAATTACCGGACTAACTTTTAATACTTTCAAGGCTGATTTATAAATTTCTCTCGAATTTTTCTGACATAAATAAGTTTAAGATTATTACATTGTCGAAGGAATAATTTCATTATAGGGATTATAAAGTTATAACTCTTGAAGCATCCTGAACAGAAATTACGGTTAATTATAAACTCGAATGATTTAGAAACTCCCAACTTTTGATAATAATAATTGTTGTAAAAACAAGAATTTCGCCGCGGTAACACCACACACGATCAAATTTCCCTACTGCCTACAATGTAATTGTTCTACTTTATTGTATCCCAGAGTGGTGTTTGGCGCACGTGATAATCGTTTATATTATATTAGGCGTGCAGAACTTGTAAAAATCTGCGCGCATCTGAAGTGTCGCCGTCGATCTGTATGTGGTTTGGTTGTAGATCATTTCATTTTTGCGCGGTTTTGTTTCGTGTTAACGATGCGTATCATGTCACGTCATATTATTGCATCGTATGCCAACTTTATTGACTGTAATCAACTATTCTGTTTGATGCTTACATCTACAGCACCATCGACTATCGACTATCGAGCCTTTGATTTTATATAGGATTCTTTAAAAGCATACCGCAATCTTGATCTTAGTTGCTCCTTGAATGTAAATGTAAAGTAACATCTTTTGTCAACTATGTTTTCGCTTTTTACCATTAAGTGTCGATCAACTGTTAAGTAATCAGCAACGAGTTTATCAGCTGATATCATAATTTAATTTGTTTCGACTTGCTGAATTTTATCACTCGGTAGTTTATTAAGCTTGTTTCACCAAAATAACACTTACATTGATGATTGATCATCTCTGATGACTAATATGCTATATTAATGAATAAGAGTGAATTGTAACCCGATGGAAACCTGTGTAACAGTCGTCAAGCACCAAAAACTGGTTGCTATGCCTGTAATTAATTAACACATAACAGGCGTCGCGCGCGCAAAATAGACTCCTTTTATACACATAATTATAGGGGAGTGGTCTATATTGCGAAGGAGCAGACTTTTGTCATCATCGCAGGTCCATCGGGATAGCTCATATATCCAAACCCGATTACTTATTCCCTACGATCTTTTTGCCTTCGGCAAGAGCAGGGAAAAAAATTTACATGGTACTTGAAAATACCGTTTCGTAATATATTATAATAGAAAGACGTTGCTTGGTCATAAACTCATCACATCGCACTCGAAATGTGATTATAAAATTATGTTATTGGCCATTTTTGTCACTGTATATTTTACAAATTGAATACATTAACCATGTAAGCGGAGGTTACTCCGCTATTCCTTTCTTGAACTTATAATTTGATAAAACAGCTACCAGATAATTCTTATTCTAGCTTTTCATCAAGTTGAAACAAATTCTCCGTATCAAGGAGCTAGGGTGTGGACACCTGGTTAAAACGTTTCCATCCCATACATTAATAATAATCATCAATAAATGTATTTAATTGCAGTTGTAAGAATATTTAAAATATAATACAATCACCATATTTCACTAACTAATTTCATCAGGAGCGTTCAGGAAAGGTAAATCCTTCCTGCTAGACTTCATCTTACGTTACCTGACCTGTGAGGGCCGTTCAGGGTGGATGGGGGATCCTGAAGAGGACCTCACTGGGTTCAAGTGGAGGGGCGGCACGAACAGGTCAGTAGTGGGGGGATGGTGGGGGGGGGCACTAACAGGTTAGTAGTGGGGAGGGGGGGCCGGGGGGCACTAATCGGTCAGTTTGAGGGGGGATGCACGAACAGGTTAGTAGTGGGGGGATGGTGGGGGGGGGGGCACTAACAGGTTAGTAGTGGGGAGGGGGGGCCGGGGGGCACTAATCGGTCAGTTTGAGGGGGGGGGACTAACCGGTAAGTAGTGGGGAGGGGGGCAATAACAGGTTAGTAGTGGGGGGCCGGGGGGGGGGGGGGGGTACTAACTGGTCAGTTTGAGGAGGCATCAATAGTTTAGTTGCCATGTTAAGAGTTCATTTTCTATTATAATTATGTCTAATTGTAATCTCACTTAACAGAACCCTATAATGTTAACAGGGAAACAAGTGGTATCTGGATTTGGGGACAGCCTTTCATCAGAACTAACCCTAGTACTGGAGAGAAGGTTTGTTTGTTTGTTTGTTTGTTTGTTTGTTTGTTTGTTTGTTTGTTTGTTTGTTTGTTTGTTTGTTTGTTTGTTTGTTTGTTTGTTTGTTTGTTTGTTTGTTTGTTTGTTTGTTTGTTTGTTTGTTTGTTTGTTTGTTTGTTTGTTTGTTTGTTTGTTTGTTTGTTTGTTTGTTTGTTTGTTTGTTTGTTTGTTTGTTTGTTTGTTTGTTTGTTTGTTTGTTTGTTTGTTTGTTTGTTTGTTTGTTTGTTTGTTTGTTTGTTTGTTTGTTTGTTTGTTTGTTTGTTTGTTTGTTTGTTTGTTTGTTTGTTTGTTTGTTTGTTTGTTTGTTTGTTTGTTTGTTTGTTTGTTTGTTTGTTTGTTTGTTTGTTTGTTTGTTTGTTTGTTTGTTTGTTTGTTTGTTTGTTTGTTTGTTTGTTTGTTTGTTTGTTTGTTTGTTTGTTTGTTTGTTTGTTTGTTTGTTTGTTTGTTTGTTTGTTTGTTTGTTTGTTTGTTTGTTTGTTAGGACAACTACAATATGGCTCCGAAATCGAACCATTTTTATAACCGTTTTGACAATTTGCAATGGTATTGATCCATTGTGTAATAGTGAGAACTACGACTATTTTAGGTAATAATAAGTCAGACCCCTGTCAAAACATTAGTAATAGCGAACTGTGCGAACTGTAATAACTAATATGATTGAAATGTGTTACCCTGATTAACAAATTACACAGCTATATCTCTATATTGCTGATTAACAAATAACACAGGTAGCTATATTGCTGATGGATACACAGGGCACATTCGATAACCAGGCAATAGTGAGGGATAGCGCCACGATATTTGCTCTATCGACCATGTTGAGTAGCATACAGATCTTCAACATTTCCCAGGTAATTATACGCTAATTAGAGAGTAATTAGATGCTAATTAGAAGGTTATTATAGGCTAATTAGAGGCTATCATTCTATTGTTCAATTATTTCATTATTCGATTTATCAAATATTGGTGGTCCATTTACGACGGTTTAACTTTTTTTCCGTCTTGTGGTACCTAAATATCTTAATGATTTTAAAAGGCGTTTGCATACCAATAAATGTATAATATCTCATACAATCAATGATATATTTATAGGTTAAGTGCAATGTACTCTATTACTTATACAACATGTCAAACTATAAAAGACAATGTATAACTATAATGTATAAAGCGGGGTTTGCGTGTTAAATCAGCGCAAATCGTGGTTAAACTGTAATTACAATACTGCTATAAGACTGAAATCCCCTGAGGGTCACACCCTATCCCGCCTTGTTAATAACACTGTTGTACGCTATAATAATAATATAGCGATTTAACTTGTTGGTTTCCTTACACTTAGTAGGCTCTTCTTTTTACTTTTAACTTGTTATCTGGTACAAGCTGAAAAATATGTTATCTGGTACTAGGCACAAGCTGCAAAATATGGTGTCTTATGTTTCAAATCTGCTACATGTAAATGTAAGGGAGTAAGACAATACGATTTAACACATGAGTTTAATGGTGATGTATCACGTACACTGAGTTACATACACTTCCGTACACGCGTTAGTCACGTGTTAGTCACGTGTCTGTCACGTGTCTGTCACGTGTCTGTCACGTGTCTGTGCACGTGTTAGTCACGTGTCTGTCACGTGTCTGTGCACGTGTCAGGCTAGCATTCTCATTAAACTATATAAAAAAATAAGTATAAAGAATAAGGAAAAGGAACGGGAATGAAGCCAATACCAGAAGTGAAACCCCACCAAAGAATAATTGATCCTTAGGTAGACCTGGTGAAATAAAGTAACTGAACTGTAAGTTTAAGAAAAGACGGAGGGAATAAAGGAGAGAGGAAATAATGTTATGTGAACATCATCAGCAGATGACTTGGCACACCGGTTTCGGGGGTTTAATACCTGTACCGGTTTAATGTGCCAAGACCCCCTAGCAATCACTCGTCAGTGATCACCTGTTCACGTTAAATGTGATGTCAAGGATGTCGCTGACATCAAGTATACTGTATTTGTACAGAATACTAGGTCGGTCTTTCAGAAGCTTTCTGAATTTACTCTTCAGGAGTCTGTCATTATAACATCTTGAAAGAAGTGTCCTATAAAGGGTGTTGGTAGAACACAGAAAAGAATCAAGGTCAGAGATAATGGAAGAGTAACGAAGGACCTGACCGTAAAAAACATTATAACCAACAGAAGAGGAAATATTACTGTTAGGAAAGGTGTACATGACCACAGGAAAGTTGAAGTCATCAAGTTTGTTGTAAAGCTTGGTGGCGACGTGTCCGGAGTTATTCATCGAGATGTTGATGTCGAGATAGTTTACGGACTTATTGTCGTCACCACTCCTCTCCATAAGCAGGTCAGGTGGATAAATGGACCTGATTAGGTTAGAGAAATGCAAATAGTTCATGGTGTTGAGGTCGTCGACATATCTGCAGTTTCTTGAGAGGAGCTTAGCGAGACCGAACTTCTTTTCTTTGATTAGGCGTGTCATGTAGTTGAATTCACATTTCCCTAGCGAAAGATCAGCGAACTGGCTACTAGAATTCCCTCCCATGGGAATGCCTTTCGTTTGTCTTAAAATCTGATCCCCAAAACAAACAAAAGTGTTAAACAGAATAAATGTAATAGCTGTTTTGAGTTTATCAGCAGAAAAACATAAGTATCCGTTATATTCCTTTTTAGAGAAAAAATTGTTGTTCTTATACAGAGAAACACAAATAAATTTATTCGTATTACTAAAGAGGAGATCTATTAGCTCGAAAAGCAGTGACTGTACAACCTGAAGGTCTAGATTGGTATACAGAGTGGTAAAGTCGTATACCTGCATATTAAAAATCTCTAGTCTAGGCAGCCTTTCCAGGAACTGTTTAGAGCTGTTGATGCTCCAGTCGCAGTTAATTCCAGTATTGTTGTAGATAGAGTTGCAGTATTTGGAAAAGTATTCTTTTAAAACTTTTAAAGCTTTGTTGACTACAACTGATATCTGCTTAGTGGTACATTTACTGGCCCCAGCTATAAATCTAGACTTATAAGGATTCTTGTGAAGTTTAGGAATCCAAAAGATTCTCGGTAGACAAAGGTTGTCCTCAGAAACACGAATATTAAAGTTATCTTTAATGAAGTTCACATGTTCCTGAATAATATCATCCTCTACAGAGTTAACCGGATGATAAGTAGAATTGCCACGACACTCTAGAGAAGTGAGATCGTAGCCAAGTTCGTTGAGAAGGGTTAAAAGATAAAACTTCTTGCAGACAAAAACATAATTATTTGAAGCTTTATCTACGGAGCAAATAATAAAAGAAGAAGAAAGACTGTCGAGATAAGATTTAACATCATCCCTTTGTAGAATGGAATTGTAGGGAGTGAAGTTATTAGGGGAGGAGGAGAGGAAGTTAAGGCGATTGGTGAAGATCCGGGAGACCTCATCTTTCCAATCCTGGAATTCCAAACATGAAAGTCCATGTTTCCTAGCCATACGGGTGGCGAAGTTGGCTGAACACTCGTTGAGGCTCTCCAAGATTTGCTCAGGAGGAACAGACACAGGTTCCCTAAATTTGGTACCGTAACTCATGATGCCTCTTAAATCCTCGTGCTCAATGAAAGCAAGGTCACCGGTGATGATGTGGCCTCGAGGCTGATAGCAATAAGGGTTACTGGAACAGGGGCAATCACCTTCCAGGATGGAGGAAATAGTAGTATTATCAAGTGATTTAAGGAATCTATTATAATTAAAAAGCTTACGCCCGACAGGAATATCGTACTTATAGTAAACTTTTAAGGGAAGGAAAGGCGTAAGGTTTGGAGGGAGAAGAGTCAAGATCCTAGAGTCACGAATGACTGATTCTATTCGGAGTTTATCAAATATTTTAGAACAATAGTGAAAAGTGATAAACTCGCTATTAACAGAGGTGATATTAGGAGAAGAAGTGCTGTCTTGGCCAGCAAAAGATTGTATAACAAGGAAAATGGCTCCAGATTTGCAGAGGGAATGAGAGCTAAGTTGCTTGAGCTCGCCTTTTTGAAGGCTACTTATATCTTTATAAAAGTTGTATTTGCTTTCAGACATTTTTCTTTTTAAACTTTCATACTTATTGTCAATCTCTCTTAAAGTGAGAGTCCTTTTGTATATTCTATCTTCATGGCTTTTGTTTTTCTTTTTTCTGCCATGTCCTCTTTTATATCTTTTTATTTTACTTTTAAAATAAATATCGTTAAAGTTGCTTTTAGAAATATTACCAGAACCTTTTATGTTGTCATTGAGACCTAGAGGGTGAGCAGTGCTCAGGAGATTAATCCAAAGAAGTTCCCTGTCAGCTAAGGCCAGACGAGGGTCTTCAGTAGAGGAAGGGTCAATAAAATCAATAATTTGAATGGAGGCGTCATGAAAATTATGACCGGGAGTATTAAAGTGGTCATGGACAAAGGAGGATTTGCCGGCTTTAACCGAAGCACGGTGTCCATTCATGCGTTCATTAAGGCGCTGTTCTGTGAGCCCAACATATTGAATACCACAAGAACAAGTGAGGAGATAGATAATAGAAGAAGATTTACAAGAAAAGGATTCAGAGTGAGTTAACATGAAAGAGTTATTAGTAACGTAACTGGTGAAAATATTACTTGACCTGAATGGTTTACAGGTGAGACATCTTGACTTATTACACGGTGTTATATCAGGGGAAATAATACTGTTGGGATGAATCCAAGTGTTGGATGTGATGTTATATATTTTATTTCCTTTCTTAAGTCAAGAATTTACAGGACAAACTTAACAGCCGACTCCAACTGAAAAAGCCCTGGGAACCATCACCAACCAGATGCCTTGGGGCTGCCAAGGTTAAGCGGGCGTTAGGTGACATGAACTAATGTTCTCCCACTGTCACAGTGCAGCCAAGCAGAGTGCTGTTGTTCCAAGAACACTCTTTATAACCGGATCACACACTGCCGCTGCTTCTCGTACCGTAGCTAGGGCGGGCAGCTCAACAAATACAGTGTATTTGTTGTACAATGTACTGTCGTCATTAAAACCAGAGACTTAATGTCTGGATGCATAAAGATAGAGAGTAAAGATCGTAATTCTAAACTGCGTGTAATGTATGATGTTGTGTTAGAATGGTAACATTTCTCTAGTATTAGCATCAGCCTACAAGTTGTATAATCTTACTGTATAACTAAGCGCGGTATGTTAGGAATTCTGATTGCCGCTTAATTATCGTGATAACGTAGTATACATAACAATCAGCTAATAGAACAGTTGCTATATTACAACGTATTTCTACTGTCCAATACAGTCCTGCTAGTTATAATTACCTATACTAACTGAGCCATAGTAATAGTAATAGTAATAGTAATAGTAATACTGTAATAGAGCAAGGTATTGGAGTATATCTGCTGCCGAAACAGTGCACTGATATCATTAAATGTACTACAGTCCTTGTATTTGAAAACAATGTATAAATGCTAAATTTGGGTGTATTGTTTTACATGTCATTATCTTGACTTATCTGGGATTTAAAGTGGAACAGCAACCACCGCTTAGGCCTTAGAGTATAAAATTGTATTGTGTTCTACAGTCTTACCGAATTACTCTTCTTAATTAATAATTTCTAGCTGAAATTATTCTTTATAATTTACCGTTAATTGGGTAATAACCATTTTAATTAGATAATAACCTTTTTAATTAGATAATAACGTGTTTCAGCAAATAAGCGAAGATGATTTGCAGCACCTTCACCTCTTTACTGATTACGGTAGATTGGCCATGCAGGACGATAGTGACGACTCAAAATGCAAGCCATTCCAAGTTAGCTCAATATTCTAAATTATATATTTAAACTTCCTTTTTTTTTCAGATTTTTGTCTGACTTCCAGGAAACGTGTGGTTGAGCAACACTTTTTCTTACACGTCATTATAATTTTATTGATAAAGTTGATCTACACTTTATGGTTTAATCAGTATTCTGATAATATCTTACCAAGGCGAGTTAGATAGATGTGGATTCTGGTGGGGAGGCATATTTTCTTGAGACGTGACAGCTCCTCACCAAAATTAACTTCTATGAACATATCATTTACAGAGGTTAGAATTTCTGATCAGAGATTGGGCATTTGAATACGAGTTTGAACTGGGAGCTTCTGGTGGAAAGAACTACTTGAACAAAATACTTGCTGTAAGTTTCAAACTGAGAATTTGTGGCAACTTGCCATCTAATCCTTCTGCATATCGTCATTATTGGCATCGTCATTTTCTCCACAAGATTGATTTGTAAAGCTTTTTGGCGCAATGCAGTAAGCCGCCATGACAAAATTGTATTAAAATTACCTGGCATTTCGCGCTGAAAAACGCGCGTCGTCCTTTTCAAAATTAGCTGGCAAAAATCGTTTATCCCATCAATCGACGAAACCAGAGCTCTAGCAGCACTTGAAATATCACCCATTAATTAAGTACCCTACCTAATTACTTAATTAAATACTCTATCCAGGTATCAGAAAACCAGCACGAAGAGCTAATGGAGGTACGTCACCACATAACCAACTGTTTTGCAGATGTGGGGTGTTTCCTGCTCCCATACCCCGGCCGAACTGTCGCTTCTAAACCTCAGTTTACTGGCAGATTAGCAGGTGAGCTGCATTTTTACACTTTTAATCAGCTCAGATACATGTAGATATACTACTGACTAGACGGTTTTATGGGTGGTTACCATCAAACATTAACCTCGTTTATAATGGGACAAAGTTAATAAACATGGTGAAGAAGAAGAGTTGATTTATAAATTGTAATTATTATTAACTGGCTTGTTAATAAACATTGTGAAGAAGAAGAGTTAATTTATATAATGTAATTATTATTAACTGGCTTGGTGTTACCACTTACCATCTTGCTACCTCGCAGATATGGAGGGTGATTTTGCGAGTGGCATAGAGAAGCTTATACCTTACTACTTACACGAGGAAACGTTGCAGTCCAAGAAGATTCATGGTCAGACATTGAAGGGCAAAGATTTACTTCATTATTTCAAGGTTAGTTTTAAAATTTATTTCAATCTTTTAATAGTCATGCTGAAATATTTTGTCGTTTTTCTGATTTATCTGGATGTTGATGTTCGTTCATCACCATATTTTTTACTAACATGTCGTCGTGCTATTCTTCATGAGCCATGATACTATTTCTACCAATTTAATCAGAGCTACGTTGAGATCTACCAACAAGACACCCTGCCAGAGCCAATGACAATGCTAAGAGCCACAGCTGAAGCAAACAACCTCTCAGCGCTTGCTTCTGCTCAGGAGAAATACACTGAGAATATGGAAAAGGTAACATTTTTGTTGCTGTATATCACACATCTATTCTGCAGAAAATCACATCTATTTTAGAGAAAATGAACACTTGCTCTTGTTTGATAAATTTTGGATTAATATCCTGATCTAATTTGTATTTGACACCTTCCCCTCGCTTTGTTCGGATCTGGTATAGTACATCTCTCGGCACACTATTACTGATGTAAAAAACAAGTGTTCCTTTTTAAAGCTCGTATAATTGGATCACTCAGTCACTCAAAATCGTCAGCGATCTAATTTATTTGTAACACCCTTGCTTTGCTCGGATGCTTCTATTTCTCCTTTAAAGCTCTTTTAAAGAGTTTCAAAACTTTAAAGTTGGTAAAAAATTGTAAATTCCACCCACGTCAGACGTAAACATGCACGCTATCGCCAAAGTAGCCTAATAACCCATCGTGTTTCAGAAAGTTGGTGGTGATCATGGGTACCTAAACGACACTGATATGCTCACCCAACACGCAGAATCTATCGACCTGGCTGAGAAAGAGTTCAACAGCACCAGGAAAATGGGTGGCGCCGAGCTCAGGTATGGTAATGTTATTATTTATATTACTTATATTTATATTACTTATATTTATATTACTTATATTATATATTTATGTTACTTATATTACCATGAGAGACGACAGCATTGGGAAATACCGAATTGTAAGACTAGAATGCCCTTAGTCACTGAGAAGGAACTACTCGTATATATTGATCAGTTATTGTCGCATTAACAAATCTCAATCGCAGCTGAGGGTATTATTAGGACGACAGAACTGGATTTTTCTAATTCAAGATTTATATAATATATATAAAATATATTAAAATGTAATACAAACTGAAAACAAAGTTATCGCAATTAAACAGATCATTATGCCGCTTTTATAAATCACTGCACGTGCGCGTAGATGTCGCCCAATCTACACATGCGGTCACAGCGTGTGCACGTTAATCTACACGTGCGGTCACAGCGTGTGCACGTTAATCTACACGTGCGGACGTTAATCTACACGTGCGGTCACAGCGTGTGCACGTTAATCTACACGTGCGGTCACAGCGCGTGCACGTTAATCTACACGTGCGGTCACAGCGTGTGCACGTTAATCTACACGTGCGGTCACAGCGTGTGCACGTTAATCTACACGTGCGGTCACAGCGTGTGCACGTTAATCTACACGTGCGGTCACAGCGTGTGCACGTTAATCTACACGTGCGGTCACAGCGCGTGCACGTTAATCTACACGTGCGGTCACAGCGTGTGCACGTTAATCTGCACGTGCAGTCACAGCGTGTGCACGTAAATCTGCACGTGCGGTAACAGCGTGTGCACGTTAATCTACACGTGCGGTCACAGCGTGTGCACGTTAATCTACACGTGCGGTCACAGCGCGTGCACGTTAATCTGCACGTGCGGTCACAGCGTGTGCACGTTAATCTACACGTGCGGACGTTAATCTACACGTGCGGTCACAGCGTGTGCACGTTAATCTACACGTGCGGTCACAGCGCGTGCACGTTAATCTACACGTGCGGTCACAGCGTGTGCACGTTAATCTACACGTGCGGTCACAGCGTGTGCACGTTAATCTACACGTGCGGTCACAGCGTGTGCACGTTAATCTACACGTGCGGTCACAGCGTGTGCACGTTAATCTACACGTGCGGTCACAGCGCGTGCACGTTAATCTACACGTGCGGTCACAGCGTGTGCACGTTAATCTGCACGTGCAGTCACAGCGTGTGCACGTAAATCTGCACGTGCGGTAACAGCGTGTGCACGTTAATCTGCACGTGCGGTCACAGCGTGTGCACGTTAATCTGCACGTGCGGTCACAGCGTGTGCACGTTAATCTGCACGTGCGGTCACAGCGTGTGCACGTTAATCTGCACGTGCGGTCACAGCGTGTGCACGTTAATCTGCACGTGCGGTCACAGCGTGTGCACGTTAATCTGCACGTGCGGTCACAGCGTGTGCACGTTAATCTGCACGTGCGGTCACAGCGTGTGCACGTTAATCTGCACGTGCGGTCACAGCGTGTGCACGTTAATCTGCACGTGCGGTCACAGATTCTACCAAACGACATTTCTGAATTGAATAATATTTAACCCTCAGTAAGACATTCCTGGAGAAGCTAGAGAAGTATATGGAGGACCAGTTCCAGCAGTACACTAAGATAAACGAGAGTAAAAACATATTCAAGTCTGCCCGGACACCTATAACCCTCTTTATCGTGTTGGCTGTTGCTTACGTTGCTCATGTGAGTATTATTAATGCTTTTCAAACAAAGTTACATCGAATTCTTCATTTAGCGCATCCTGGGTTTGGACAGGATATGCCCGTTTAAAATATTTCCATCACGTTACATTACATAATTCTCAATAAATGTAATAGATTTGTAGTGTTGTAATTAGTTAAAAACATTGTGAGTAATGTGTAGGATCGGAGGGTTTGTGATTGTATGAATATTGAGAAGTAACATCGGTGTTAGACATCCTGTTGTTACACCGTTACACCCTGTCGTTACACCCTGTTGTTACCCCCTGTCGTTACACCCTGTCGTTACCCCCAGGGAATCCTGAAGGCAGTGTACCTGGGTCCACTAGCGATGGTGTGTAACGCAGTGTTCTGGGGAGCCATGTCCACGCTAGGTGTCTGGATAACCCTCAAGTGGAGAGCTGAACATCAGGAAGTAGCGGAGCGTATAGATCACGTGGCCGAGATGATCTGGGAACAGGTAGGGTTTGTTGCCAGCATCTATTACGGCGGTTTTATATTGTTATTACGTGCTATTTTCATTGTCACGACGCATTTGTTGTTACTTTTAAGATTGAGAATATTATTCTGATTATTTCTTGTTTCTTGATAACACAGCAGAACTGATTGATTGATGGATGACTTTTGTAAAGCATGAGTTCTACAATTCTTAGCTTTTAGTGTAATGAATGTATGATTATTCATGTAATCACTATCAGGGGACTGGGGATTTTATCATAAATTATAACTGATTATATTCGTTATTTGATCACAATTTTACCGTATATTTGCTAGGGCGGATTGGAAAGAATGTTTTGAATGTGGTGGGGTAGGTTGATTGTACCACAGCACAGCTATTTTGTTTTATCTGAGTGATATTTTGCAGGGTGGCCCAGAATCTAAAGCAATTTTCATATCTTTTAACTTTTGTAAACAGCTAAGTTAGAAGATGTCAATGTTGATGAAATAAGCGCTTTACAATCTACTTGCTGTGGATTCTGGGCCACCTTTAGAATCGTGTCCGAGCCACCATTGTGTACGTACCAGTGGTATGAACAACTGGTACGCACTACGCACCAGTGGTACGAACCAAGGAAGTGGTACTACCACTTCCTTGTGGTAGTTTGGAGCGTGTAGTTGAAATGATTTCAATGGTACGCCACACAACACAACAGTGACCGTTGAGGTGATAGTGACCAGTGGCATGATTATATAACTCTTACACTATGTATTCTTTAAGACTAAACACATTTGTCTTGATATGATACTAGAGACTCTATGATACTTGATCTTGAAAACTATAATGTTGTCGTATGAAGTTGGGGTCTTATATTATCACTGAAACTATCGAAAAACTAAGAGAAAACTGGAGTCTAGAAATACTTATTTATCTCACAGACCAACTTCATTGAACAACGAATCAGATATAATGTGTATACTAACTCAATAGTCAGCTGAAATATGCAAAGTATCATATTTCGTTGACTTCTTGTTTCTTACCTTGGGGGTCGTTCATTTATAACGTCATCACTGAAGGGTGAGGAGATTTCAAAATGATGACGCGGCTCATATAATTTCTAAACGGTTTTGGTACTGGTAAACAATATGAAGTCGAGGGTTTCCAAACAGTTTAAAAGTGATGACGTAACACAATATTTGAACGGTTCTTTCTATCTTCTTTATTGGCTGTGCTTTGTTTCTAACTCTACCTAGCACCTTATTTCCAGTGTTCTCAATAAATAGTGTTATAGTGTTGAGTAAAACTTGTGTATCTCTGTTTTACTCTGAGAAAGAGGTGTTAACCTGCGTGAACTTTAGTTTTGCTTACTCTTAATTACTTAATTAATTACTTAATTACTTAATTAATTACTTAATTAATTACTTAATTAATTACTTAATTAATTACTTAATTAATTACTTAATTAATTATTTAATTAATTACTTAATTAATTACTTAATTAACTGATCGTTATAATGGCGGACTTCACATGAGCATATATTGCTCAAATATTTAAATTTGAAACGTCTTTCCCCTCCACCATAATCTTTCCGCCCGTCCATCGATTAGCATAGACTTCTCTTTTCACGATAACCCGTGCCTTTATAGCGACAACGAACTATTTTAAAAACTCTTATTATCATCTACAGTACTAATAATTAGTAACCTATTACCTAATACTGATAATTAGTAGTAATTAGTAACTTGATAATGTCTATTTCAGGGTCTGACGCCATTCTACGGGTTAGTGGTAGCTGCCGGAACAACAGCAGCAATAAAGCATGCTCAAGCAGCACAACAAAGGAGCAAATCTAAAAAATCTTAGGACCATGGGGGGCTGATGTTTGATTTAATTAGTCGTTTTAGGATTTTTTTTGCTATCAGGATTTGGGTGCCTAGATGTTGAGTTTGATTTTGAATATTCCATTTCATTTTTCTTTCCTGGATTGCCCGCGCTAATTAACAAATTTAACTTTTTGTAAAATTTTAGCCGGCACTTGAGTTCACTTCGAAAATATCCGGTTTTGAGGGTCAAACTTTACTCTGGTACCGATGTAAAGGGATGCTATGTTAGTAAGAGTGATTTGTGAATTGTGATATAACAATAAATGTAACAATTTGAGGCTTGCTTTGTGTGAGTTTATATAAATCCTAGCTAATCTAATTAAGACGCTAATTGATGCCTAATTGGTGCTCTTAAATTGATTATCTAGGCCTTTTGATTACTAAATTTACCTCAGATAGATTTCTTAGATCTGCTGGGTCAGAAACCTTTACAGTAAATTTTTATCGCATTTCCCCCCAGCCCGGGCTTGGCTGCTCCCCTTTTACCATCTTTTCTAAAACTAATTATATAATTATACAATTATATCTATTAATAGATTGTAATTACAAATACCTTTGTTAGTTCTATGTTGTAAGAGAAAAGCATAAGATTTGCTCCTGGTACTAGAATTAATTTCAATTCTGAAAAATAAACTTCTAACGACGCGTTGATACTTTCATGCTTTATAATATGGGGTCGTTCACATATTACGTATTCAGCTGAGGAGGGGGGGGGGGGGGGGGGGGTTTCCGAATGATTACGCTAGTGTAATTTTGACACAATAGCTATGTGTAAAACTGATTACGGAGGGGGCGGGGGGGGGGGGACTGGGGAGGGGGTTAAACATGTTCCAAAAAATGGTAACGTAATATGTGAACGACCCCTATGGAGCAAGTCTTTGATTTAAAAATGATTTGATAACATCTGTCTATTGAATGCTTTTTAATTTATTGTTTAATCTTGACAAAATTTCCTTTTCGATTTATATTTAACAAGTACGGTGGTGCAGTGCACATTCTGTTTACAAGGAGCTATTTTCTGAAAATTTGTATCTAATAATTATAAGCTAATACACAAAGTGTTATCAACACAATTTATTTTAAAATAATAATGAACGCTCCTAAAAAATTATTGACTATCAAGAAATTCGTGATTACTTTCACTTAAAAATACCATGTTGTACAGATTTTGTGTTAACACTACACCACTGTTAAGATAAAAATCTATTACTTTCATGACGGAAAAACGTGTGATTTTATGTCGGCCAAAATTTGAAATTGTAAACTCCAATATTTTGTTTTGTCTTCAATTACAAAATTCCCAATTCCTTTGGTGCTCCCAATATACTAGATCGCAAGTAAATTTAAATTAATAATAATATTGAGTACGATTTTTTGTTTTATATAGCATGCGTTGGCTATAAAAAAGTCAGTTTGTACATAAAGAATTAAGGAAACTTTTACTAAGGAGAAAGTATATTTGAGTAATAATTTGCGTGTTAGGCAATTAATTAATCGATTAATTGCCTAATTAAATAATTAGGCATGCCATTTAATAGGCAACACTTGTCATGTAGTGATTATGTTTGAATATTGGATAAAATTAAAATGCTTATACTATTTAATTTTGTGAGTTAAAAAACTTCTTTTGAATGCTTGTCCAAATAATCAAATTTGAAGTACAAAGTAAAAAATATTATTAACATTTAGTTAAAAGATTCAGAAATAAAATGATTAGTCTTCGAGTTTATACAATCAAGAAATTCAAAATTAACTTACAGATATCTTATAAACAATTCAAACCATTCTTTAGTAAAATTCCGCATCATTTAAACCTACAAAACAAAAATTAATTACTGGTTAATTAAGTAATTAACACCTAATTAGGTGAGAAAATGGCGATAGGGTCGGAGATAGATAACGAGCGGATTGAGTACCACAACAACACGGTACTGACTGTAGCTTGTTGCACCGAAGATCATACTGTTCTCTCAGGTAAGATCAGTTTTCTGGTTAAAAACAATTTTATTAGCAATATTTCCAAGTACCGGAACTTTAAGTGATCAGTTCTTATAATGTTATAATGATGGTTTCATGATACTTCGTCTGTTTCCATCTGAAGATGGCTATGGGTCTGAAGTTAGCATTAGTTAAGTTGTCGTCCTCGGTCAAAGTGCAGCACATAAACACTATTAATACTTTAATAGTCTATCACACTTACAAAGTGTGACTTGTAATCTTTAGTGATGGCAGAATCTTGATACTCCCCTATTACTTCCCTATTCAATATCTTAAAAACTGTTAAAATTGTATTTCTGTTAATGTTCCCTGGTCTGATAAGTCCCAGCTCACTGTCCATCTTATCCTGATGAGATCTTCACTTGAAACCGATTGGTGATCTCTCAAATCATAACTCTTCATTCTCAACACGATTAATTTCATCCCAGCCTGCACAAGAAGCTGAACAGATTCCCCATCATCTAGGCGGCAGGAAGCTCTTATCCTCGTAATGTGAGCAACTCTTTTCCAAGAGTCTCTCCACATCCTGGATCCCCTCCTCCTCCTCCTTCTTCTTCCTGCACCCCTCCCATAAAACCCTTTTTACCCGTCTCAGTAACCTAAACTGTCCGCTAGTCTCACTCTTCACGTACCGTATCCAGACCCAGAAGATGAATGTGCAGGACCCGTTAAAGATACAGAGGTGCAGTTCAAAGTTGGATGTACAGATCAGCACGATGAAGAACATGATAGCTTTAGCTCCTGGTGGAATGTTGATTTTCATGATGATTGAGTCGTCGCTGTTTATGTGGGATATTTGGTTTGTGGGGTGGTTCTGATCTTCAAGTTTGGGTTTGTGGAGGCTGTTTTCTAGTGGTATTGGGGAGCCTTGACCGGAGTCAGAACTCGGCATTGCCTCAATTAAACTTGTTATAATCATGTCACTGTCAGTCGCCATCTTTAGATGTTAATCAGGATGTTGTGTTGTTTTTTAATCACGTCATGTTGCTTCTCAGATACCTTGGCCTGGAAAATAACGGTTAGAATGTTACATAGTTAGATAATGAGCTAGGCTTGACTATAATAACTCCCTGATAAATTGGTGTCAAATTTATAATGTCAGAGAATATTAGTGAATAATGCGCCACAGTATGGGGCGTTGAAGCTAGAGAACGATCTTTAATCCCCTTACAGTTATAATCACCTCTTTACTTAGGCACCATATTTTAATATTTTAGTACCATATTTGATATTATCTAGTCATTGGCAAGGTACCCGGATTATTAAAACCCGACTAGTATACCAGGGATTGTACGAAGAGTGGTGAAATTCAAAATTAAAATACTGAAATTAAACATTAGAGCTGGAAGAAATTAAACTGAATTTAACAGTAACTTAAATAGCAGTTAAACACAAAACAACAAGTTCAATGTCATATAATATGAAGAGAAACAAGCTACGGGCTACCCTGCCAGTTTATCGGTAAACAAACTATTGGTTAACAAAGCAATTAACAAACTCTATGTATCTATACACAAAACACATGAGTCCATGTGTCTTGGGAGGTCGTTGTAAAGCTATAGTTCAGTGTGTGGACTTAGTGTGCCAAAATTAACCATTTCTATAGAGTTATCAATTGAACAAAGTAAAGACGTGTAGAATTAATTGAACAAAGTCAAGAGGTGAACAATTTGAGCAAGAATAACAGCAGACACTAAATTACTAACTTACTAAGCACTGTAAGCACCGTATTCACACTCAGACCTGACTCCTGAGTTTAGTCATTTTCCGATACGAGATCGGGGACGGGTTCTAAAAACAAACAAACAAGCACTGTAAAGGTGATCACGTACTGTAAACTTTAAGGGTGGTGGTCACGTGACAAGTGCTCTGACACGTGCTCTGACACGTGCTCTGACACGTGCTCTGACACGTGCTCTGGTACAGTGTACACTGTGTTTGATCACGTACACTGTGGTTGATGCCGTGTTTACAAGGCTATTATGTAATTATCGTTCATTAGTTCAACTAGTGATAAGAAAAGTTTCTCAACAATTTCAACATTGCTTGCAGGTAAAATATATGCAATCTCTGCAAGCTTTCTGTACGATACGTCGCAATTTCACGATAGACATCATAAAAATGTGCAGTAATTCGTAGTAGATGTACCGGCACGTACAACAGCAAGACTGGATCAGAAGGTTAACTATACGCAAGGTATGTACAGGTAAAGGGAATGATGCCGAATGTTCAGGGAATGATGCCGAATGTTCAGGGAATGATGCCGAATGTTGAGTCAACTAAAGACATTTCTAGAGTTAATAGAGCTAATGCTCCATTAAACAAGCTACCTAGTATAGATCAGATACTGGCTGGAACAAATATATTTAAAGTCGATCAGATGCCTTAGTCTGAAATAATATTGGGCATATAGTTCTAACTCAATAAACTAACGACCAACAATTGCTGTATAAACTGAACAAAACCTTCGTATAAAGGCTAAAGGGTTCGCTATGGCGTGATAATCACTGAAAACATTGTAGAGCTGTGAGAAGCCGGATTTGGAACGACGCCAAGAATGTCCATGTAAATATGACACAAAATGTGGAGTGGGGCTATTATTATCACATGAAAAGATAGACACACTGATGTGATCATTGGTCTAGAGCACCGTATTGGATTACATAATCACATAATTATGTAATTACATGCCGAAATGCGAAAGAAAAACTCGACAACAAATAGAAGCAAAATTAATAGAAAACAACAATAATTAAAAAAATGAAACAGCTAATTTTCCAATAATTATGAATTGAAAGTAAAGCCAACAGAAGGTAGGAACGGAGACTTGACAAATATATGACACAATGTTTACTAGGTTATAATAAACTTATAAACATTGTATACCACAACTGTAAAGTAGAACGTATCAAGTTACTAAAACTTACTATATTTAGGACCTGTGTATTAGGAGCTCAGAGAAGTGTAGGCTCAAAGAGAGAGAGGGGGAGAGAGAGAGAGAGGAGAGAGAGAGAGAGAGAGAGAGAGAGAGAGAGAGAGAGAGAGAGAGAGAGAGAGAGAGAGAGAGAGAGAGAGAGAGAGAGAGAGAGAGAGAGAGAGGGAGGGAGAGAGAGAGAGAGAGAGAGAGAGAGAGAGAGAGAGAGAGAGAGAGAGAGAGAGAGAGAGAGAGAGAGAGAGAGAGAGAGAGAGAGAGAGAGAGAGAGAGAGAGAGAGGGAGAGAGAGGAGAGAGAGGAGAGAGAGGAGAGAGAGAGAGAGAGAGAGAGAGAGAGAGAGAGAGAGAGAGAGAGAGAGAGAGAGAGAGAGAGAGAGAGAGAGAGAGAGAGAGAGAGAGAGAGAGAGAGAGAGAGAGAGAGAGAGAGAGAGAGAGAGAGAGAGAGAGAGAGAGAGAGAGAGAGAGAGAGAGAGAGAGAGAGAGAGAGAGAGAGAGAGAGAGAGAGAGAGAGAGAGAGAGAGAGAGAGAGAGAGAGAGAGAGAGAGAGAGAGAGAGAGAGAGAGAGAGAGAGAGAGAGAGAGAGAGAGAGAGAGAGAGAGAGAGAGAGAGAGAGAGAGAGAGAGAGAGAGAGAGAGAGAGAGAGAGAGAGAAAGAGAAAGAGAAAGAGAGAGAGAGAGAGAGAGAGAGAGAGAGAGAGAGAGAGAGAGAGGAGCTACAAGTTTGTTGAAATGACCTGTCATTACCCGGCATGTATATCTAGTGTGAGGAGCGGGGAACAGAAAGGAGCGAGTTAAACTAACACTTCCAACTAAACAGAGGGATATCCTTAAAACAGGGCATACCCTCGAAATATCCTACAACCCAGCACGGACTGATAAAACTAAATGTAAATATAAATCAATGTAAATATAAAAGCACGCTCAGGGTGCTTGTGGTAGTGACACTTCTAGTTCCGAGGGGGGGAGGTGTTGATAGAGCTGGTAGCAGCTGAGGCCGGCGTGATTCTTTCTTATGATTTGATCTGTTTTCTGTGCTCATTTTATTACCTCACCTTCAAGATATATGTTCATAACTGATGCTACCTGAGCTGGTGTGCTTTATCTACAGAAATGATCTGGATTGTCCTATCTAATGTATCATTTGTGCCATGATTCTACTCTAGTTCAGGATAGTAGATATTTTGGGGACACGACAAAGTGCGTCATATGAAGTATCAATGTTAATGTTAATATATAATGTATCTTATTACATGTCGACATTGTTGGTTTTCTATCCAGATAATATTCCATACAAAAGCAAACGCTCTTATTGAAGTGAATCAGTATTTTCAATAATATAGTGAAATATTTTCAACGTACTACTGAGAACAGCTAGATTGTGATAATATTACACATTTTATGGGGTAATTCAACTGGTCGCAGTTTACAACAAGCAAACCTTATGATTATAAAATTCGTAAACAAATCTTCGCAACAATTTAGCCTTGAGCATGCGCATGTTAAACTTTAAAACCATAACTTAAATCATCGTTGAGACTCTATACACAGGCAGACTATAAAAACAATGTTGAAACATATCACACATGTCACAATGTAAAGAAATAAAAGAGGCGGGATCTGTGGGAGCAGGTGAAGAGAAGCTATTACTCCTTTACTCTATTACAATTGTAACTAGTTTATATACCTACTGCTACATGTTATTTTAATGTCAAAGATATTACAACCGTAACTAGTTGATATACCTAATACTACACCATTTAATGTCACAGATATTACAACTTTAACTAGTTGATATACCTAATACTACACCATTTAATGTCAAAGATATTACAACCGTAACTAGTTGATATACCTAATACTACACCATTTAATGTCACAGATATTACAACTTTAACTAGTTGATATACCTAATACTACACCATTTAATGTCAAAGATATTACAATTGTAACTAGTTGATATACCTAATATATTACTCTCTTTTACTTTAATAAGATTTATATCTGGGGGTACTGGATCGTTTAAATATTACGTCAGCGGGGGAGGGGTTGATAAATTAAATAGAGGAAATTCTGACGCTAATGTAGTTTCTGTACAATATCTGTTGATTGTCTAAACTTGCTGACGGAAGGGGAATCTGAACACTGCGAGATTTTGGTGACGTCACGTTTGAATGTTCCCTCGCATGATATTCTTTATTTTGTATAATTCATTTCTACATGCTGCAAATTAAATAAGGGAATGTGATGTCGAGAACAATTAAACTTTAATTTTCTAAAATATCGCTTAGCTGTGAAAATATTTTGGAAGGGAAATTATACATAAATAAAGGAAATTACGTTAAAATGCAATGACAAAGAGCAAGATGCTACAAAAACTGCACAATTTATAAATAAACAAATGAGGAAACAACTGACAAATATTTGATGTTATACTGCCTACTACACACAGGCTCTGTGAATGTAAACAAACCATTAGCTATGAAATATAATGATAATTACTTGTTGCTCCCGGCATAGTTCGAGTGTTTCGCTTGACAATAGCCATGCGATGGAGGATCAATTGATAAACTTGTATATAACCTGACACGACCTATTGAAAGCGCAAAGCTGATGTGTTAAATTAACTTGATTTTAAACAATTTTCTAAATTCTTTCAAGTGAACCTGATCATCTTGTTTCAAATATATCATGAAATACCCAGAGATGAATTAGCTTATTCGCTAATGGTGTTCATGAATCATGATTTTCGTGAATTTAAATTGTTTTAAAATAAAGTTGACCCAGAGGGTACTAGGGTCTTAGCCCTTAGGGTGATTCAGTTGAGCATGATTACAGAAGGTCATAAACAGTTATTTCTAAATAGTTCTATCTACGTAGCACTTCACATGTTTTTATCAGAGCTATACGAAACCTACAAGCATTATATACACTGAAATAATTAAATAATAATGACAAACGATTAATCACTAGCTATGAAACTATCCTGATCCTGCACCAGGACAAAAATGTGTCACTTTCACTTTCACCTTCACTTTCACTTTCACCTTCACTTTAACTTTCACTTTCACTTTCACTTTCATTTTCACTTTACATTTGTCTCTTCAGGAGCGGAGGATGGTTCTGTGGCCCTATTTTCCAGTAAAGATAACACTCTTCTTCATCGCATAACACCTGGTCCTGTTGACCCTGTAAACTGTGTTACGTTTAACCCGAGGTTAACTTTAATAACTTAAATTCAACTGTTATAAGCATTTTATCTAAATTTCGATTTTATTTACTTTGGCTGTAGAACTGAATTCATTTAAGATAATGAACTGGCGATTGGACGATATCAAATTTTCGTTGAATGCTGGACAACTAAGATTTTTTAAAGCTAAGATTTTTCTCTAATTCAAGTTTAGATCTATACGTAAGTTTTAGATCTATAAGTTAAGATCTATAAGTTTAGATCTATAATCGTAATTATATCGTGTGCAATTTGTAAATTAATTTAAAATTAATTTTCAAAAATATCCTAGGGAAACTGCTAAATTTTACTGTGCTCTTGGTGAGAAGATCTTTGTTTACGATAAAAGACAACTGAACGGTTTGCCCCTTTTTTTGCCCTCCATCTATCCATGAAACATATTAGTGGTTCTTTAAATAATTCTCGGAGAAGTGGCGTATAATAATATCTTACATATAGTCGTATCTAATAAATTTTGATAAAGTACCACATAATTACCACATAATTACCACATAATTACCACATAATTACCACATAATTACCCAGATGTGTGTGACACATATGCGTATCACGAGGAAGAGATTAACCAAGTAGCTGTAGATGAAAAAGGGCAGTACATGGTGAGTTCCACCTTAGTTCTACCTTCCCTTGTAGGGAAGCCAATCAGATATCCGGCTGAATTCGATCCGGAAATCAAAACCCCCCCCCCCCCCCCCCAGCCGGGTTTCTAGTACCTTGTTATATTCCACACCAGTCGATATCATATTGAGTCACTTTTTGTCACTTTTTGTCACATAACAGTCGTAACGAGTCACTGTTTGTCCAGGTATCTTGTGACGATGACGGTACAGTGATATGTTTAGACCTCACTAAGTCAGGAGGGAAGAGTGTCAGTAAACACACCTTACACGACAATATATGTGCTTCTGTGCAATGGGTATGTAGTGTCAGTAAACACACTTTACACGACAATATATGTGCTTCTGTGCAATGGGTATGTAATGTTTAGTAAACACACCTTACACGACAATATATGTGCTTCTGTGCAATGGGTATGTAGTGTCAGTAAACACACTTTACACGACAATATATGTGCTTCTGTGCAATGGGTATGTAGTGTCAGTAAACACACTTTACACGACAATATATGTGCTTCTGTGCAATGGGTATGTAGTGTTTAGTAAACACACCTTACACGACAATATATGTGCTTCTGTGCAATGGGTATGTAGTGTCAGTAAACACACTTTACACGACAATATATGTGCTTCTGTGCAATGGGTATGTAGTGTTTAGTAAACACACCTTACACGACAATATATGTGCTTCTGTGCAATGGGTATGTAGTGTTTAGTAAACACACTTTACACGACAATATATGTGCTTCTGTGCAATGGGTATGTAGTGTTTAGTAAACACACGTTACACGACAATATATGTGCTTCTGTGCAATGGGTATGTAGTGTTTAGTAAACACACTTTACACGACAATATATGTGCTTCTGTGCAATGGGTATGTAGTGTCAGTAAACACACTTTACACGACAATATATGTGCTTCTGTGCAATGGGTATGTAGTGTTGTCAGTAAACACACGTTACACGACAATATATGTGCTTCTGTGCAATGGGTATGTAGTGTTTAGTAAACACACTTTACACGACAATATATGTGCTTCTGTGCAATGGGTATGTAGTGTTTAGTAAACACACTTTACACGACAATATATGTGCTTCTGTGCAATGGGTATGTAGTGTTTAGTAAACACACTTTACACGACAATATATGTGCTTCTGTGCAATGGGTATGTAGTGTTTAGTAAACACACTTTACACGACAATATATGTGCTTCTGTGCAATGGGTATGTAGTGTTTAGTAAACACACTTTACACGACAATATATGTGCTTCTGTGCAATGGGTATGTAGTGTTTAGTAAACACACTTTACACGACAATATATGTGCTTCTGTGCAATGGGTATGTAGTGTCAGTAAACACACGCTACACGACAATATATGTGCTTCTGTGCAATGGGTATGTAGTGTCAGTAAACACACTTTACACGACAATATATGTGCTTCTGTGCAATGGGTATGTAGTGTTGCAGTGGTTTAGTTTAGTAGGGACCATCGTGGCTCTTAACAGACGAAGTGGAACAAGGCTTATAATTATTAATTGGTGAAAACTAAATGAAAATAATGGACGTTTTGGCACTCATTGGCCTTTTACTAAGATGCAATGGGTATGATAATCTCAGTACATTGTTCCGCTCAGTAGCTTAGAGTTTAATTAGGTGATTCTTTCAAGAAAATTTCTGTTAATCTGAAACTTTAGTTCTACTTTCCTATCATCTCTAGATATTTCATAACATAATATGTTGACATTTTATGTCAAAGTCTCAGTAATGTCACACAGTACCAGAATACTGTTTAAATAGAAAATGCAGTACTCTGTTCCAATAATTAGATAATTAACCACTAATAACTCTCTTGTAATGACAATGTTACAGGTACCAGGCAGGAGCTCGGAGATAGTGTCAGGTGGTATGGACTGTAAAATACACCACAGGTCAGCAACAAACACGTGTCACTTTCACTTTCACTTTCACTTTCACTTTCACTTTCACTTTCACTTTCACTTTCACTTTCACTTTCACTTTATGGACTGTAAAATACACCACAGGTCAGCAACTAACACGTCATTCTTTCTGCTTAAAACTTGTTAATAGGAAAATTATTAGTTTAAATTTCATGGTTGCTAATCACTTGACCAGCATACTCCAATTAATCTAAGTTAGTTATAAAGTAACAAGTTGCTAATAACAAGATAATTAACCACTAATAACCTGCCTATTAGTGCTAATTACAAGATAATTTACCCCTAAAAACCTGCCTAGAGACGTGTACAAGAGCCGTCCCTTGAAGACCCTGACAGAGAAGACAGAGCAGCAGGGGATACACATTATAAACCCACCTTTTGTCAACTGCGTTTCTACTTATTGGGGCTCCAGGTTTGTTTTATATTCACATCTATTAAAAAACAATGTATTTCAAATTTTAAAAAGGACTTTTTAAGGTGCTGAGTGCACGTACCTCCTTAGATTATCACGTGGGCGTATCACGTGGGCGTTATCTGACCATGTAGTCGATATGTACCAATACATGATCATTTTTATAGGTTTTATAGTCAGTCAGATTACCGCTTGTATTTATTCTGCAAGGTTTTAATTTTATTACTGTCCACTCAAAAGCGAATTCTTCTTTTATCCTTATATGCACTAATAGCTGAAGTCGCTGATTGAAGAGATTTCCTTGTCCTTGATTTTGTGACCCTTAAAAACATAACCTTGTGTTTGATTTTAAGTATAACTAATTCATCAGGTATATGGTAGCGGGGTACGGTAGCGGAACTGTTAAAGTCTGGCGACTAGGATCCAAGAAAGTCGGCTACGTTCCTTTCAAATCTTTACCACGTCACAACGCCGGCGCAGGTACGAATTTAATATCTTCACAAAACATATAAATTTTGAATTTACGATCCTTCATTAAATCCTTTTTCGTTTGATTTAAATTTCCTTCCAGTTTACCAAACAAATCTAGAAAACACACAGAATTTTAGGTTGAACAATATAAGACTCAAGAATTGAACACATAAGATTATAAATAACAGTTACACGTTTAAAAATAATTAAATTTATTCTGCTACCATATTAAAGTGGAACGATTTAGAATTGGTGGTTGAGAGCTCTGATGATAATATTGCAGGGCCTCATTCGAAACGCTAGGACTTTCAACAGACTCTAATAAACTTATCTTTAACCATAACAACGTTGCACTATAGTAGTTTATTGTTCATCAATAGAGGCCTATTTAGGGTTAAGCTCATGATATTCTTCTGGATTGCTTGTTATTGTTCATCAATAGAGGCCTATTTAGGGTATAGCTCATGATATTCTACTGGATTGCTTGTTATTGTTCATCAATAGAGGCCTATTTAGGGTTTAGCTCATGATATTCTACTGTATTGCTTGTTATTGTTCATCAATAGAGGCCTATTTAGGGTTTAGCTCATGATATTCTACTGTATAACTTGTTATTGTTCATCAATAGAGGCCTATTTAGGGTTTAGCTCATGATATTCTACTGTATTGCTTGTTATTGTTCATCAATAGAGGCCTATTTAGGGTTTAGCTCATGATATTCTACTGGATTACTTGTTATTGTTCATCAATGGAGGCCTATTTAGGGTTTAGCTCATGATATTCTACTGTATTACTTGTTATTGTTCATCAATAGAGGCCTATTTAGGGTTTAGCTCATGATATTCTACTGGATTGCTTGTTATTGTTCATCAATAGAGGCCTATTTAGGGATTAGCTCATGATATTCTACTGGATTACTTGTTATTGTTCATCAATAGAGGCCTATTTAGGGTTTAGCTCATGATATTCAACTGTATTACTTGTTATTGTTCATCAATAGAGGCCTATTTAGGGTTTAGCTCATGATATTCTACTGGATTGCTTGTTATTGTTCATCAATAGAGGCCTATTTAGGGTTTTGCTCATGATATTCTACTGGATTGCTTGTTATTGTTCATCAATAGAGGCCTATTTAGGGTTTAGCTCATGATATTCTACTGTATTGCTTGTTATTGTTCATCAATAGAGGCCTATTTAGGGTTTAGCTCATGATATTCTACTGTATTGCTTGTTATTGTTCATCAATTGAGGCCTATTTAGGGTTTTGCTCATGATATTCTACTGGATTGCTTGTTATTGTTCATCAATAGAGGCCTATTTAGGGTTTAGCTCATGATATTCTACTGTATTACTTGTTATTGTTCATCAATAGAGGCCTATTTAGGGTTTTGCTCATGATATTCTACTGGATTGCTTGTTATTGTTCATCAATAGAGGCCTATTTAGGGTTTAGCTCATGATATTCTACTGTATTGCTTGTTATTGTTCATCAATAGAGGCCTATTTAGGGTTTAGCTCATGATATTCTACTGGATTACTTGATGTAGGTTCGCTTCTCAGTTGATCTTCTTTCTTCAAACTCCGTAGTTCGTTGGCTTGTCTCTGTGCTGCTGCGTGCTTCTTTCTGTTTCTTATCTCCTGAGTGGGGGTATAGCTTCAGGTTAGTATTTTCAAGGCAACTATTATCATGTCAAATATTATGATATCGTGTAAGGTCTCCTGATATTTCTTGAATCATTAGCTCATTAGGAAACTGACATGATATTGGGCTGTGAACATGTCCATTGTTCAAGACAGTTCGTTAAAATATGTATGTTAACTCTGCAGCCTAATTAAAATTCAACTTGTTTTAAATGATGAATATTAAATTGAAAACATCAAGTTGATAAGCTTAAGAATCTGCACCTTGTAAAGAATTCAACTTGACTTGTTTTAAATAATGAATATTAAAATTGAAAACATCAAGTTGATAAGCTTAAGAATGTGCACCTTGTAAAGAAGCAAAGCTCCCCTTCCTTTGGGAACTCTATACCGAAACATTGCCTTTGTAAGAACACACAGAGCTTTCCCGTTGAACCCAAACATATGAGGGTCAACATTAGGGATTCCGTATGTACTAGAACACCAGCGTAGCCATAACATCACCTCCGGTACACTCCAGCTGTATGGGTCTGTGATAACATGTTTATTTAATTGATTAATTGATTAATTGATTAATTGATTGATTGATAAATTGATTAATTAATTAATTAATTAATTTATTTATTATTTAATTATTTATTTAATTAATTAATATGTCAGGCGCGGCTGGGTCTGCTATTCTGGCTAACTCAGAGACTTGGGAACTTGTGTTGCAAATTCAAATAGCAAATGTTTTACTGGGTATAAGATGCAAAGGTCTGAGTAAAGAATGTTGCATTTGTTAAGTGAATCAAAAGGCTTTTTTAATCTTTTCTTAGATTTCTATTACAGTTGACTCTTAAGTTATGGCCCATTTCTGTCATGACTAAATTATTAGCTATATGATGAAAATCTAAATATTATAGGCTACAATGAGCATTTTATTAACATATTAGCTATAAAGACGAGTACCTATAGGAAGTATAGGTGGGGTGGCAGGAGCGTTGTAAAATATCTGAGCTGCCTCTGTATTTGGTCTCTCCAGGGGAGAAAAGGGTATCATTCCCGACAGGAGCACTGAAATAATACTATCAGTTTTACTTTTATTTATACAAGTACAACTGTAAAATAATAGTTTATGCAAAGTAAAATAATAGTTTATTATTTATAAACTATTATTTTACTTTGTCACTAGGCGGGAAACAGTATCGGATTTTAAATCATATTATTATATGCCACGAACTGGTAAACACAATGCGGCCTTTTACAGCTAACATGAACATGCATAATTCTTGTTGACAACTTCAAACTTTCTCAAATAATAAACGAGAAACAGAAACAGAAACAGAAACAGAAACAGAAACAGAAACAGAAACAGAAACAGAAACAGAAACAGAAACAGAAACAGAAACACTTTAAATTAGATAAACGTACGGTCTGCCATGCTCGTCTTATTATCCTGCGAAGGTGACCGTAAAGAGCTGGAAGGCTGATTAACCTGTTCTTTGCACGGATTAACCTGTTCTTTGCACTGATATGGACCAGGTCTCTGGCAGCAGCCGACTGGGGCTAGGTCGTTGGCCGTTATCGAGGATGAACCCCTCGCTCGTCGCCGAGATTTACCAGTACCGGTCATTTTAGTTTCATAGCTGAGGTCAGTATTCACCGCCGGAAATTGAAAGTAACCCTCTCCCTGTGGCGGGAATTCCTGCCGCTGCAACTCCTGGTTGTGAACGGTCGCTGGTTTGGGGCCTAGTACACTACCCTGAGGGACACAGTAATCTCTCATCAGGATGTGCGCCTCCTCTATTGTGGTTGGAAGGGTGTGGTTTCTGATTTCATCTTGCAGTGGGGTAGTTCTGTGGTTGTTATCGAGTGCAAGGTCATTCATCTTGCAGCTACTTCTTTGCGGTTCTGCCACCTGCTAAATCGAGCACAATTAAAGTTTAATATCTTTGAGTTCTGAGACCTACATTGCTATAATGTACATGACGTATGGTTTGGTAACTCTTGATTGAAATGGTCGTGACCGGAAAATAATATGTTTGATTCACGATGTCAATCCTTCGCAGCTCGGTGAGGCACAGTGGTGCATCTCGCCGATCTACCGAAGAGAAGCATTATTTGCGAGAAGCATTATTTGATGCGCGCGCGACCCAGTAGTGCATCGCGCTACAAATAATATGTATTATTTAAGTTAAAATTCGAAAATAAGTTCATACCTGGCGACCAACCAGCTGGTTATAGAAATCAATATTGTAGAGGAAAGGGTTTGTTGCCAGCAGTTGATCCTGACTGATATAAGGGAATTGATCCAAATCTGTAAAGCGACAGGGGTTGTTGAAAGTATCATACGACATATGCGTTAAGCTTATCGCGTCGAAACAAAATCTAATAACAAAATCTAATATCCGAGCAAAGGTAAGGTTGTTGAAATGAGTTAAGTTTATATAGTGTAGCAGTTTATTTAAAGAGCACGCTAAATGGTTTTATCCTGGTCACCATTTTTAGACAAATTTCTTGACTTCGCCTTGACGATCATGATTAGCTCCTTATTTGGTGTTTTACGACATCATCCCTTAAATTCAAATCGGTTTGACCACTGTAATGTAATATCGTTTATAATCTTCATTATCCGTTGAATTTTTGCCCTAATATCTGGGATTACTTTGCTCTCCTGGTTGTAATTTGTAATTTGTAATTTAATGTGCATATCCCCCACTCCTAGGGTGTCCACTGTCCCCGACGGTTATGTCATTATGAAATAACTATTACTCTCAATCCCAAATGTCGAGACTATATTTTACAAGTCTGCGTCACGTCTTATAATTTTGCGGTGCGTCAGTAAATACTCACTAGATTATGATATGGTGTCCAGTGCTCCAAATCTACTTTATAAGGTCTTGGAAGTTAGCTATATGTTCTGTGAAAGTAGAAACGATGCGGTTGCAACTTTTTCTGTTAGCATGAGACGTGGGGAACTGGGCGTTAATCGGATATTATTCTGAATTTTTAAGTGGCAGTTTAAAAATTTGCAAAGGAATCGTTTACCTTTTACGTAATTCAGCCCAGGGAAGGGTTTGGAAATGTCATTTTTACAGAACAGCTGTTTGACAAGTGGCTTTGCATTATAGGGTGAGGGAGTGGGTGGGGGCCTTAAATTGTATTATAATATATTATCAAGATCTTGCGGATACGTGATCTCTGTACATAATCAGTGATTTCGTCACCCAATCACTAGCGGGCAACAATGAGACTCATTAGGAGGTACCGAGCATGTTAGAAATGACGATCTGATCACTTTAAGTGAATACTGATTGTGACTTTCCTTAAAATCAAAGAAATTTGTGCTATAGCGCTTCGGTTGCTGTCCTATGAGCATGTTCTAACCAATCAGGCCATTGATTGAGAGAATAAATCACAGATTAAGTGCCGGGATCCCGGATCATGTATCCGCCAGATCTTAAAATTAATATGTCCTACCGGTTACTTACTTGGGTTACTTGGGTTGGGTTCCGAGCTAGAGTGCTACCAGGCCAAGAATGTCTTGCATCTCCACCGCCAAGTAGTAGCACGTCAGAGACATGTGCCACCGGCCCACTCCAGCATTGAGTTCCGGTAGGACATATTCAAAATTTTCATTGCATCAAAGTTTTCTCCGGAAATATTGCTTCCAGTACCTTGATGGCGACTTTTGTCACTCTCACCGACCTCACTGATTGGTCACTGGTAAAACTTTCAGTCAAAACCGCTAAATTTCGGTCAAGGGGACGGCAGGACATAATATTCAAAATTTTTATTGCATCAAAGTTTTCTCCGGATATACTACTTACTTCTAGCACCTTGATGGTTACTAGTGTCACTCTGTTTTCTGTTTTCTAATTTAGTCTAAAATGTTATTTACAATTATTGTGTGCAGGTTGTGTGTGTCTGGTAGACGGTACGACTGTCGTCTCCGGTGGTAACGATGGTTTTATTCACATCTCTGAACTTGAGAGAGGGCACACTAACGGACACACTAACGGACACTGTAACGGGCATTCTGACAACATGTATGTTTCATATTTCGTTACTTATTATGATAAGTACTATTATATACTATTTTAATATTCTAATATTTCTATCAAGATCTTTGTAACCCTCTAAACAACTTATTTTGCCCCTACATGGTCTAGCTACTTCTGTACAAGTACTGCCCCATCTTGCCTTTTTAAGGGTGACTTTAACCAAATAACAAATTGATTAAAAAATTGCCTTTATCTTTATAAAAATAAATGTGTATCACCTCCCCGCCAACGCCGTTACTTTAACGTCTTTTTCACGTCCTTTTATGTTTTAACGTCCTTTTTCCTCAGAGCGAGTGACGATGACGCTGATATAGACGACACCTGCACCTTCAAACTCCTTCACGGACACAAGATTAACTGGTTATCCGGCTTCAGGGACACTTCGTGTATCATCCTGTACGCGTGTGATGAAAGTAACGTGGTTACTAAGTACTCTATTAGGTGACCTGGTCACGTGGGATGAAAGTAACTAGGGAGTTTAGTAACCAGGGAGTTTAGTAACCAAGTCGTTTGGTGACGAGCTTTCGTAGTTACTTACATGGAATTTGTGTAACACGCGTGTCAAGCCGCGTGGTAATTTTTAAACTTGGTAACTCGGTGACTTACATATGTTACTAGGTTAAAAGTGCCTTGGTTACTAAGTGCCTGGCCTTGGTTACTAAGTGCCTTGGTTACTAATTAACATGGTTACTAATTAACATGGTTACTAATTAACATGGTTACTAATTAATATGGTTACTAAGAGGTATTGTTACAAAGCATTGTTGTATGCAGCAGACTGACCATACTCAGTAGCTTGACAAATCACGTGTTAACAATGTTAAACAATGTTAAACAATGTTAAACAACGTTAAACAATGTTAAACAATGTTAAACATTGTTTAAAGAACATTATCGTTTATCGCTAATCATCTAATATCATTTATTTTCTTATCATCATAAACGTGAGTTACACTGCATGGTGGGTGCCACAATCTCGCTACAAATATTGGAGTAACTCTGAACAAGTATTTGTGAGGGACGGTACACTTTTATGAAATATTTGTAATTTGCTTTTAAGGGCTGTACATATATATCTGAGGGTTTGCCAAAGTATTTTATCTTGAACAGATGAATTTATTTCATTTATCAATCAACGCTTCTTTAATTTGCTAAACTGCAAGATCTTCGTCATGAGACATAATGGCTGACGGACAACTGGGAACCTGTCAATTTTACCTAGTTAACTAATTAACATGTAAGCTTGAGAAATCCAATCAGCTCCAACAACCATGGGAACCAATCATTACATATCCCGGACAACTGGGAACCTCTGGAGATACTTTAAATCAGGTGTCCACTGATTTCACAGCAGTGCTGTATATATTTCTGCGCTAATTAAGACAAAGATTTTTTAAAGTTTAGATGCAGAGTGAACACATGCCGAACCCTGCTCAGGTTCTTGCTTGTCCGGCTGTTAGGATGGATATAATATAAATCACATCACAAATGATACGTCACTGATTGCAGGGCCATGTGATGTGATGCCTGTGGGAGGTCAGAATGAGAGGTTCCCAGTTGTCTACAAAAACTGAAAATGGGACAGAGTATGAGACTGGGGACAGTATGATTTTCCAATTTTTTTCAAGATTTTGACTTCCAGTACCCCAATTTGGTTTCATACCATCATCATTTAACCGACTAATTAGTTTGTGGGCAAAAATTTTATCCAATCTGTCAAATGTGCGTTCAGAAATTTTTACATTTGAAAATGGGACAGAGTTTTGAAAATACAACTTTTCGTTTTCTTAAGATTTCTGCTGTGAGCTTCCTCCGACCCGAATCAAACTTCCAGCACCTCAATCGTGTCATTTGGCATCTATAGTTGACTGACTAATTGGCTGCGGGTCAGAAATTCGGCCAAAACTGTAAAATTTCGGCCCTGGAAGTTTCAGCTTCAAAAACTGAAAATTGGACAGAGTATGGGACAGTATGATTTTCCAATTTTTTCCGAGATTTTGACTTCCAGTACCCCAATTTGGTTTCATACCATCATCAATTAACTGACTAATTGGTTTGTGGGCAACAATTTCATCCAATCTGTCAAATGTGCGTTCAGAAATTTTCACATCTGAAAATGGGACAGAGTTTTGAAAATACAACTTTTCGTTTTCTTAAGATTTCTGCTGTGAGCTTCCTCCGACCCGAATCAAACTTCCAGCACCTCAATCGTGTCATTTGGCATCTATAGTTGACTGACTAATTGGCTGCGGGTCAGAAATTCGGCCAAAACTGTAAAATTTCGGCCCTGGAAGTTTCAGCTTCAAAAACTGAAAATTGGACAGAGTATGGGACAGTATGATTTTCCAATTTTTTCCGAGATTTTGACTTCCAGTACCCCAATTTGGTTTCATACCATCATCAATTAACTGACTAATTGGTTTGTGGGCAACAATTTCATCCAATCTGTCAAATGTGCGTTCAGAAATTTTCACATCTGAAAATGGGACAGAGTTTTGAAAATACAACTTTTTAGTAAGGGGAAAAGTGGTCGATTTAAGGGTTCCGTTGGATCGGTTTGTTCACAACGATTTCTCAACGGAATATGGTAGTTAAGACCCTTACGAACATAATTAGACTTGTTGCCAATTTTGTATCTCGCCGCCACACCCTTTTTTTGCCACGCCCATTTTGAGGGTCTCGCGTGTAGTGAAAATCAGAGTTTTTGATCATTTTGGTCGAATTTGTCATGCTATATATCAAACTAGGGGTTTTAAGACTCGAGAAACACGTTGCAACTATCTGTTTAAAGCCAATGTGCTCAGGAAACGCGTTCTCTGATATTATCTAGATTAGAATGAAACAAATTATGATAAAATGGGTGCAGTTACATGAGTACTTTGCGAATACATATTTCCATATTTAGCGTTTTGTTTAATTATTCAGTCTCAAGAACTTAATTACAATGTTCAAATACTAAAGTTAACTGGTTTCACAAAGTCTGGTAAACAATTAGACATTAAGCAAAAGACAGTCCCTGGCATTCCCACGCTGCATATATGCATATATATTACACATATATTTGTGTATGCACGATGGGATAAGATGATCTCTAACTTGCTGGGCTCATACTATCGGAATGCTCTGTGGAGGAAGACTTAAACTCGAAGTGTATGGGGCGTAGGCCCGCCCTGCCTTCCCCAGGGATGCCCGATAGACGAAGATCTCTCACATTTTTCGTTTTGAACTGCAATCGGTACGTGTGCTCTTTTTTCAACTTTTTATAATGCCATGAATATTTGTGCACAAAGAAATTGTCAGAAATTCGAATTCAATCTAACTTACTTTTTACTTTTGTAAGTTTTTAAATTTAATTTAACCGTCCTCACTTTCAGAGTATTGCTATTACATGATCTTGTCTAAATTGAAACGTCGTCGGGTCGACTTTACACTAGATAACTGCATTCTTTGCCAAGAGGTGCATGGCAACCAAACAAAAAGTAAGTTTAAATTGCTATATATATCCCGCTTTGTTTTTTCAAAACTTTTGTATACGAATAACTAGTTGCAGGAATTAATATCAGCAACAACATTTGCTATGTAATCGTCCAGTTTTGTCTTTCAAATGTGCAGTACCGAATATCGATATTGCAGTGTAAACATCGTACATGGTCTAATTTATGTCCTCTTACTATATGTATAAGTTAATTGTGTTTGTTTCTAGGTTGCCCAAGCAGTGTCGAAATTATCGACAAGCTTCTTAAGAATGTCCATGATCGAGCATCTTGGGGAGACCAAAAGGTACTGGAGACGTGCCAAATTCTCCTAAAATCTGGCAAAACTGCTATTGACCTGCTATCTGGCTGGTATCATCGCATCTGTTATCAGGAATTCAGCTCCATAAGTAAACTTCAACGGTGCAAACGGCGCTACCAAGAATCGATTGACTCAGGTACGGTCTATGTGCTTTTTGTATAAAGTTTATGCAACGTATTTACTAAGCCACCATCTTCTTACTGGATTCTGATTACCAATTAAGGCATTTAAAAATATACTGACTCAAAATTTTACAGGTGCCTTTTGTCCTTTAAATTTAATTTATGAAAATTACATATTTTTGCATCCTGTCGCTGTCTGACAGTTGCAAACATAGAATTAAATGCAAAACGCGTATTGATTATTTTATTTTCTCAGGAGAACCCTGTCAGCTAAATCGTGGTCCAGGAAAGCCTGCTAATAAAGATCCCCCGCACATCTCTCCTGAACCTCATGAAGGAATACTAACAAGATCTCAAGCATTGCCGTCTTCAGTGTTCAGGTCAGTTTTAGATTTAAAAGACTGCAGCACTTTTCGTTTTAAATGGATAATAATTAAAACAAGGTCATATTGTGTTATCTTATAATTGTTCGTGTAGGAGTACTTTATTTGCTTGATAAAGTCTGTTCATTTGCGTGATATTGTCCCTTTGTGCGTGATAAAGTCTGTTCATTTGCGTGATATTGTCCCTGTGTGCGTGATAAAGTCTGTTCATTTGCGTGATATTGTCCCTGTGTGCATGATAAAGTCTGTTCATTTGCGTGATATTGTCCCCGTGTGCGTGATAAAGTCTGTTCATTTGCGTGATATTGTCCCTGTGTGCGTGAAAAAGTCTGTTCATTTGCGTGATATTATCCCTGTGTGCATGATAAAGTCTGTTCATTTGCGTGACATTGTCCCTGTGTGCGTAATCAACTCTGTTTATTTGCGTGATATTGTCCCCGTGTGCGTGATAAAGTCTGTTCATTTGCGTGATATTGTCCCCGTGTGCGTGATAAAGTCTGTTCATTTGCGTGATATTGTCCCTGTGTGCGTGATAAAGTCTGTTCATTTGCGTGATATTGTCCCTGTGTGCATGATAAAGTCTGTTCATTTGCGTGATATTGTCCCTGTGTGCGTGATAAAGTCTGTTCATTTGCGTGATATTGTCCCTGTGTGCGTGATAAAGTCTGTTCAATTGCGTGATATTGTCCCTGTGTGCGTGATTAAGTCCGTTTTTTGCGTGATATTGTCCCTGTGTGCGTGATAAAGTCTGTTTATTTGCGTGATATTGTCCCTGTGTGCGTGATTGAGTCCGTTTCGGTTTATTTTCGTGATATTGTCCTTGTGTCCGTTTAGCCGTGTTGCTGGTGATGTAATTGATAAATATTAACCCTAATTAACTGTTAATTATTATTAATCTTAAAGATAAATTTAGGAGTTCAATTGATTCTATTTTATTTCTGTTCGCAGATCGTGTGTGTTCTGCCTGGGGACAGCTGATACACTGCATCTCGTTCTCACTCTCCCTGTAAGTGAATCATTTTGTCGTATTGCTAGGGTCACTACTGATGAACAGCTTGGGATTCGCTTGAGAGCTGTCCCAGATGCGGTTGCTGGAGATATCATGTATCATAAGAAGTGTTTGGTTGAAGCAGAGAGAAATGCCGATCAAATTGAACAGAAGAGGGTGCAGAGTACCGAGCCAGGACAGGCCGTAGACCTTGAGTT